CTTTGCAGCCAATCTTATTTGTTACAGTGTACCGTACACCAGGTCCTTATTCAGAATTCTTATCAGAATTCTCTGAGTTTTTATCAACTTTGGTACTTAAAACAGATAAAGTAATTATCGTAGGTGACTTTAATAATATTAAAGTTTAAAGTTTTTATCATCGTCAACATGAATATTATTCATGTTGACGATGATACAAATAGCCTTACTGTTGCATTTAACTCTATATTAGATTCTGTTGGTTTCTCTCAGAGTGTAAATAAACCAACCCACTGCTATAATCACACTCTCGACCTTGTTCTGACTTATGGTATTGAAATTGAGCAACTATTAGTCGAACCGCATAATCCTGCTTTATCCGACCATTTCTTAGTAACTTTTGAAGTACTGTTACTAGACTAGAAAGCATTAGTCAAAAGCTCTTGCAGCAGAAACCTATCTGTTAGTGCTATAGCCAAATTTAAGGAAGAGATTCCACCAATACTTAACTCGATAGCATGTCTGCATGTAAGGGAGGAAACTTATACAAAATGTACACCACCCCAAATTGATCATGTTGTTGATAGTGCTACAGATGCGCTGCGAATAAAATTAGACTCTGTTGCTCCTTTGAAAAAGAAGAAAATAAACAACATAGATTAGCTCCATGGCATAATGCCGAAACCCGCAAAATAAAGCAAAAGTCGAGACAACTTGAAAGGATATGGCGTTCCACTAAACTTGAAGAATCTCGTTTAATTTGGCATATTACTCTCAATGAATATAAGAAAGCATTGCGTAAAGCGAGAGCAGCTTACTACTCTTCATTAATAGATGAGAATAAGAATAATGCAATATTTATTTTCAGCACTGTAGCCAGGCTGACAGAGAGCCACAGCTCGATTGAGCCTTCTATTCCCATAGCACTCAGTAGTAATGATTTTATGTGCTTTTTTAACGATAAAATTGTTACTCTTAGAAACAAAATTAATGACCTCTTGCCTTTGACCAGTATAGTGTTATCAACAGCTCCCGGAAACGTAAGTTCTAATATTACACTAGATAGTAAACTAGAATGCTTTTCAGCCATAAACCTTGAATAATTAAATTCAATGATTCTCTCTTCTAAACCATCAACGTGTATCTTAGGCCCAATTCCAACTAAGCTGTTGATGGAAGTTTTTCCATTAATTAGCACTTATTTATTAAATATTATGAATATGTCTTAATTATCAGGCTATGTTCCACAATCATTCAAAGTAGCAGTGATAAAACCGCTTCTTAAAAAGCACAACCTCGATCCAGAGGTTTTAGCCAACTATAGACCTATTTCTAATCTTCCGTTCCTCTCAAAAATTCTTGAGAAAGCGGTCGCAAAACAGCTGTGTGATTACTTAAAAAACAATGATTTATTTGAAGATTTTCAGTCTGGCTTTAGAACACATCATAGCACAGAAACAGCTCTGGTTAAAGTCACAAATGACATTCTAATAGCCTCAGACAAGGGACTTGTCTCTATTCTTGTTTTGCTCGATCTCAGTGCTGCATTTGATACTATCGACCATGATGTCCTATTGCAAAGACTAGAGCACTTAGTTGGCATACAGGGAACTGCTTTAGGCTGGTTTAGGTCCTATCTATCTGAACGCTCTCAGTTTGTACGTGTCAATGATGAATCTTCCACGCAAACCAAAGTTAGCCATGGAGTGCCACAGGGTTCAGTGCTCTGACCTATTTTGTTCACATTATATATGCTTCCGTTAGGCAATATTATAAGGAATCATTCTGTAAACTTTCATTGTTATGCGGATGATACTCAACTATATTTATCAATCAAGCCTGATGAAATTAATCATCTAAATACAATTCAAGACTGCCTTAAGGACTTAAAAATGTGGATGACCTTAAACTTTTTGATGTTAAACACGACCAAAACTGAAGTTATTGTACTTGGCCCGAAGAATCTACGAAATAAATTATCTAAAGATATACTAACTATGGAAGGCATTCATTTGGCCTCCAGTGAGACTGTAAGGAATCTTGGTGTTATATTTGATCAGGATTTATCCTTTAACGCCCACATAAAATCAATTTCAAGGACCGCCTACTTCCATCTACGTAACATTGCAAAAATCAGGCATATCTTGCCTCAAAACGATGCAGAGAAACTAGTCCATGCATTTGTTACTTCAAGGCTGGATTATTGTAACTCCTTATTATCAGGGTGTACCAAGAAGTCAGTCAAGTTGCTTCAGCTGATTCAAAATGCTGCAGCTCGTGTACTAACCAGAGTTAGGAAAAGGGACCACATTACACCTGTTCTGGCTGCCTTACACTGGCTCCCTATAGAACACAGGATAGAATTTAAAATTCTTCTTCTCGCCTACAAAGCCCTTAATGGGCAGGCGCCATCTTACCTTAAAGAACTCATTATACCCTACTGTCCTATTAGGGCATTGCGTTCCAAGAATGCAGGGTTGTTGGTTGTTCCTAGAGTCTCTAAAAGTACAATGGGAGCCAGAGCCTTTTCTTATCAAGCTCCACATTTGTGGAATCAGCTTCCAGTTTGTTTTCGGGCGGCAGACACCCTATCCGTTTTTAAGAGTGCGCTTAAGACCTTCCTTTTTGATAAAGCTTATAGTTAGGGCTGATTAGATTCAGCCCCTAGTTTTGCTGATATAGGCTTAGTTTGTCGGGGGACATCTTACTTCTTCCTTCTCTCTGTCTATACTTGTGTACTCTCATGTTCCGATTAACCCTGCTTCCCCAAATTTCTTTCTTTTTGGTGTCTATATACGCTGGGATCCGGAGTCATGGATGATCCTGCGGTCCAGTGTCCTGGATCGCGGGCCCTGGATCTTGAGTCGTGGCTGTGGTCCTGGATCATAGGTCCTGGTTGGATATCCTCGTGGATTCATCTTCCTATTATACACACAGGCATTTCCAAACATTTGGACTACCTATGTTGCAAATGTATTATCTTTTCAATTTACACACGGCATCTATTGCACGTCTATCCGTCCTGGGAGAGGGATCCCTCCTCTGTTGCTCTCCCTGAGGTTTCTCCCATTTTTCCCTTTAAACTGTGGGTTTTCTCCGGAAGTTTTTCCTTGTACGATGTGAGGGTCTAAGGACAGAGGGTGTCGTATTGTCCTACTGATATTCTGTACACACTGTGAAGACCACTGAGACAAATGTAACATTTGTGATATTGGGCTATATAAATAAACATTGATTGATTGATTGAAGTTAAGAGCCTTGGTGTCATCCTGGACAGCTCCCTCTCATTTTCACCTCACATAAATAACATCACCTGGACTGCCTTCTTCCACATACGCAACATCTCCAGACTCCGCCCATCCCTTTCTCAATCAAACACTGAAGTCCTGGTCAATGCATTTGTCACGTCCCGCATCGACTACTGTAACGCCATCCTCTCAGGCATACCCACCAAGCTCATCAATAAACTACAAATCATACAGAACTCCGCAGCCCGGATCATCACCGGCACCAAGGCCTCCGAACATATCACCCCCATCCTCATCCAACTCCACTGGCTCCCTGTTCAATCCCGTATCAACTTCAAAAACCTACTGCTCACTTACAAAGCCCTACATAACCTGGCCCCCCCCCTATCTGGCTGACCTTCTTCAGGAGTACACCCCCTCTCGCTCCCTCCGCTCCTCCTCTGCTGGTCTGCTGACCGTCCCCACCCCACGCCAGAGTCCTGCATCGGGTCGGGTACCCGCGGGTACCCGACGGGTGACCCGCAAAAAAGGTGATTCGCGGGTGGTATTTTTTCAAACGCTTTTTTCCGGGTTCGGTTCTGGGTAAAACAAAGATGATGCGGGTCGGGTCGCGGGTATTGCATAATAAATATATTAAAATAATAATAATTTAGTTTAATGTTTAAATCCTCAGACCTCTCCCCCGCGGGACCGCGCATAATCGTAACCTCTGCAGCGCATCAATCTGCTGCTGTGTAAATTCTCCACATTCGAAATGGCTGAGGTGAAGCTCTCTAGCAGAGAATACAGCAATTTCAATAACACTTCCTCAAGAGCGAAATCCAACGTCTGGGAGGCTTTTGGTGTCATCCTGGAGAAAATAACCAACATCCCACGCTTTTTGAGACAAATATATGCAACTGCGTGTGTTAATAATTGCACGTTTTCACTGCTCATAGGCTATGCGGGTTCGGGTCGGGTTGCGGATCTTGTGCCGACGGGTCGGGTCGGGTTGCGGAACTAATTAGCAATATGTGCGGGTAACGGGGCGGGTTCGGTATTGTACGTCGCGGGTGCGAGGCGGGAGCGGGTCTTGAAAATCAGACCCGTGCAGGACTCTGCCCCACGCCTCGTCACCATGGGTGCTATGGCTTTTAGCTGCACTGCTCCCAGACTCTGGAACTCCCTCCCCCCCGCACATCCGACAGTCAGACACAATCACCATATTCAAATCCCAATTAAAAACCCACCTGTTCAAATCTGCTTACTCACTGTAGTGCTCCCCATTATATGTTTCATTTGTGTCCACTTGACTGTCTCCTCCATGATTTCCTGTTTGTGTTTTTATCATGTTCTGTTGCCTATTAGCTTTTTCTTTTAACAAATTGTACAGTGTCCTTGGGTGTCATGAAAGGCGCCTAAAAATAAAATGTATTATTATTATTATTATTATGTGCAGAATCCCTCTCGCTTTCAGGTGGTTTTGATTGAGTGTCCACACGAGGACGTTTAAGGACTAAAAAACGATAATTTTTTTCACTTTGCTGTTAGCAAATCATTTGGCGCTCTAGCTAACAGGAAGTCACTCAAGTGTCACAAAGTAATTTAGCCTATGGGTTTTTGGCCATCACTGTGTCAACTCGTAACTCGTTAACTTTCAGAGTAAATAATCAATGTTCATGCCACCTCCAATGAGGTAGCATGAACATTGAATGTGACCTTTGTGCTTGCCTACTCTAGATCACAATCTGTATTTGTTAAACTTGCCAGTGTGCTCTACAGTTGTTGGGAACCATGGTTCTGAACATCCCCGGTGTGGTTGCAGTGGTGATTTTCTACATCCTGATTCTGGGCACAGGGGTGTGGGCTGCCCGAAAGTCAAGGAAAGCTGAGAGGAAGAGCCATGGAGACCGGACGGAGGCGGTGCTCCTCGGAGGCAGGAGCATCAGCCTGCTGGTCGGGATTTTCACCATGACCGGTAAGTTCTTCCTTGGGACTGATGGAATCATGTTATCCAGTGTTTGTTTTCTGCTTGCAGGATATCGATTTTGTGCAATGATGTAGATTTAGGCCCTGGTGGCATTTATTTTTAATAGTTTTCATCTCAAGAGTCAAAGTCAACTTTATTGTCAATCTTCTTTTAATAATAATAGATTTAATTTGTTAGCGCTTTTACAGGTGCTCAAAGACGCTTTACAGATATAGTGAAGATAAAATAAAATAAAGGAACAACAAATAAATATATAGTTAAAGTTAAAGTCAAATAATACAAAAACAATCACACATTAAAAGCCAGATTGAAGAGGTGAGTTTTTTGAAGGTGGTGAGGTCAGTGCAGTCTCTGATGGGTTATGGGAGTGAGTTCCAGAGGGAGGGGGCAGCGACGGAGAAGGCTCTGTCCCCCCAGGTCCGGTGATTGATGCGGGTGGGGATGGATAGGAGGTTGGCTTCTGATGAGCGAAGGCAGCGGGAAGGGGTGTGGTGGTGCAGCAGGTCTGTGAGGTAGGGGGCGGCTTGATTGTTGAGGGCTTTGTGAGTAATCAGGGAGGAGTTTGAAGTCGATTCTTTGACGGACGGGGAGCCAGTGGAGGTTCTGGAGGACAGGAGTGATGTGGTCTCGGGAGCGGGTGTGGGTGAGGAGGCGGGCAGCAGAGTTCTGGATATGTTGGAGTTTATTGAGGAGGTTGGATGGTACGCCGTAGACTCAGAGGATGCTATTGCAATCAGGGTTTCAGCAGCAGAGGAGGAGAGTGATGGGCAGAGACGGGCAATGTTTTCGAGGTGGAAAAAGGCAGTCCTTTTGTGTGATACAGACAGGGAGATCAAAATGCTGTTTTCTCACAATCACTTGGAGTACAAATATATACATATATGTATATATACACTGTACATACATACACATCTGATTCTGTACACCCAATTTTTTTATATATATACTGTATATACATTTACACATACATAATCAAACATCGACACATGTATACATATGCACATATAAAGGGGCATAAATAAAAGGCAGAACAGTCAATATATACAAAATAACAACATTACAGTCACTACAAAACGGATCAGGAAGAATATATTACAACAGTAAAAATATGCACAGTGGTGCATGACTCTCCATAGCGGCGTAGTAGAAAAGTGTGTGTGTGTGTGGTGTGTGTGTGGTGTGTGTGTGTGTGTGTGTGTGTGTGTGTGTGTGTGTGTGTGTGTGTGTGTGTGTGTGTGTGTGTGTGTGTGTGTGTGTGTGTGTGTGTGTGTGTGTGTGTGTGTGTGTGTGTGTGTGTGTGTGTCGTTCCCTCTTGGCTAGGGGTATAGAAGGGAAACGACACGACCAGATTGGATTTGGTATTTGTTACCGGTGGTTTTATTCGTAACGGCACCTGAGCAAAACGTTGTACACAAACAGCTTGGCCCAACAACGGGTCAAGCTGTCACTATTTCACAAAACGGGTCTCCAAAAGAGGGTAGCCCGGTACTATACAAAGGAAAGAAAATACCTCACTTCTAAAGTGGAAACAAACAATAACAAAACGGGACTGTGGGCAAACACAGCTGGTGCGGGTCTACAGGTGCTAATCACCTGGGTCTAAGCAATATACACACAAATACTGTTCTACAGGCACTAATCACCTGGGTCTAAGCTATTTCACAATGTAACTATCCTAAATGCGGTTCTACAGGAGCTAAGCAACCTGGATCTACGCAACACACACACACACAAACCCTACACTAAACACAGAATACCACGACACACTGCTAACCAGTGTGCTCGCACAGAACCCTACAGAATACACTGCTAAGCAGTCTACAGAAGCACAGAATACACACTGCTAGTCAGTCTACAGAATCACTGAATGAAGGCTTTGTCACAATCAGAGGGTTGAGGCATCTGTCACACAATACAGAGCCTCCAGACTGATGTTCGTGCCCAGCCTTTATCCTCCTGCCCCGGATGACGTGGCAGCCGCGGGCAGGGCTTGAGTGACGTCTGTCCAATCCCCGCGAATGTTGCGAGGTCGAGCCGGCCACTGACAGCCTAGGAAGGCACAGCTCATTTGCATACACACACAGTTAAAGGCACAAGGTAGCAGCGGCTGTAACACCCCCCCCCCCCCTTAAGACACAAACCCCACAGGGTTTTTGTGAACCATAACACACCATGACCACAGAACACATCATTCCAGCCTGGACAACGCATCTGCGAACACATTTTCTGACCCTTTCTTGTGGCAGATTTGCAGGTTGTAGTCCTGGACGATCAGAGCCCACCGCATGAGACGCTGATTGTGGTTGTACATGCGGGACAAAAAGACAATGGGATTATGATCGGTAAACACTGCAACCGGCAAAGAACTGGACCCGACATAAACCTCAAAGTGCTGGAGAGCTAACAACAAAGCAAGGGTCTCCTTTTCGATGGTAGAGTAGCGGACCTGGTGTTTGTTGAACTTACGGGAAAAATAGCAGACAGGATGATCAACTCCATCCGCATCCTCCTGCAGTAAAACAGCACCGGCCCCCACTGCACTAGCATCCACCTCGAGTTTGAAGGGTTTAGCAAGATCGGGAGCAGCGAGCACAGGAGCGTGACTTAAGAGTGTCTTTACACACTCAAAGGCATGCTGGCACTCAGGGGTCCAAACATAGTCCACCTTGGGACTTATCAACTTAGTTAGGGGTTGGGCTACAGTGGAAAAATTGCGGCAGAAACTGCGGTAGTAGCCGGCCATACCGAGGAAACGGCGGAGATCACTCCGGGTGCCGGGCACCGCACATTCCGCCACCGCCATAACCTTAGCTTCCACTGGTGTTTACTTGCCCAACCTGCTTCCCTAAATAGGTGACCGTAGCTTTCCCAAATTCACACTTGGCCGGGTTCAACGTAAGCGACGCCTGTGCGAGCCGGGTGAATACCTGCCCCAGGATCTTCATGTGCATCTCCCAGGTGGGCGTGTACATGATGAGGTCATCCAAGTAGGCGTTACAATTACTTATCCCTGATAGGACGGTATTCACCAACCGCTGGAACGTAGCTGGAGCATTACACATACCGAACGCCATGACTGTGTACTGCAGAAAACAGTCAGGCGTAGCAAAAGCGGAGATTTTTGAGGCCCGGTCCGTTAGAGGTACCTGCCAGTAACCTTTAAGTAGGTCCAGCTTACTGACATTTTTAGCGGAACCTAAATGGTCAATGCAATCTTCCATTCGTGGCAAAGGATAACAATCGGACACCGTAACAGCGTTCACTTTGCGGTAGTCAGTGATGAAGCGCGGAGACCCATCCGATTTAGCCTCTACCAGACACGGGGAGCACCACGGGCTAGAGCTCTCGGTAGCCAAGCCGTTATTTACAAGATACTCAGCCTCCTGCTTCATAAGTGCGCGTTTGGTAGGATTGGCGCGGTACGGATGTTGTTTAATTGGCCTCGCACCTTTTACATCAATGTCATGTGTTATCACATTGGTTTGCGTCGGGACATCATGGAAAAGGCTCGGGAAACGGGCCACTAACTGAGTTATGTCATACTGCTGCCCCTCCTGCAGATGACCTAACGTAGTCGGCAGTGTCTCTATCATTTCCGAGTTACATAACCGGGCACCCGGCTGGTGATGGGAATGCATCACCAAACCGTCATCAGAAGGGCCGGAACTATCTGTAACTATTAACGCCGAAACAGCAACTCTTTGATTCTCCGAGCCGGCAGGCTGGCTATCAGCGGCGGCGCGGGAATGGTAGCGCTTTAACATGTTAATATGACGGACGCGCGTTTTACGCCGTCTCTCTGGAGTACAAATAACATAATCTGTGTCACTGAGACAATCACGGATTTCATACGGACCGAGGAATTTTGCTGAGATCGCAGAGCCGGGGATAGGCAATAGTGCGAGGACCTTATCACCTATTTCAAAGCGCCTAGGGACAGCGGCACGGTCATAATTCCGCTTCATGACCGCTTGTGAGGCGGTTAGCGACTCTCTAGCGAGTGAATTTGCTCGGTGCAAACGCTCACGAAACTGACTAACGTAATCTAATATGTTCTTATCTGGAGGATTATCAGCCGAAAGAAACTCATCGTGTAGAATTTTAAGTGGACCGCGGGGCGTATGGCCGAAGACGAGCTCCGCGGGACTGAATCCTAATGACTCCTGAACAGCTTCACGGGCTGCGAACAAAACGAAGGGAATTCCCTCATCCCAATTTTTTTCAGTTTCCATGCAGTACTTTCGCAGCATGCTTTTTAACGTCTGATGCCACCGTTCTAACGCCCCCTGCGACTCGGGATGATACGCACTGGATATCACATGTTTAACCTGCAGTGTTTGTAGGACCTGTTTGAACAACTTGGATTTAAAATGTGTCCCTTGGTCACTCTGAATTACACGCGGAATTCCAAAGGTAGAACAAAACTTCGTCAAGGCCTTAACTACAGCAGCAGAAGTAATGCTACGCAGCGGAATAGCTTCCGGGAAACGTTATGGTGTTGCTCACCAACATTATGGTGAGCAAATACTGTTCACCCGTTTTTGTACGCGGCAAAGGGCCAACACAGTCTATCAACACCCGGTCAAAGGGCTCACCTATAGCCGGTATGGGTGTAACGGAGCCTGCGGAATTTTTTGATTAGGCTTACCGACAAACTGGCACACATGACAGCAGCGGCAGAAGCTAGAGACATCCTTCTTTAAACCTGGCCAAAATAAATGTTTGAGAACTATTTGATAAGTTTTAGTCACGCCCAAGTGTCCTGACCATTGGCTTTCATGTGCTACGGATAGTACATGTTGGCGGTAGGGCGCCGGCACGACTACCTGATGCACTACACTCCAGTCAGCTTCAGCAGTAGCAGTGAGGGACCATTGGCGCACTAATACCCCCTTATCCAACACATAAGCCACCTTCTCACCCCTTGCTTTGCCATTACTCACCACCTGCTCGAAACACTTCACAAGCGTCGGATCCGCCCTCTGCGCGGCGAGTAACCGCTCTCGGGTTACCGGGAGTATGGAACCGTCAACGGCTGGGCTGGCAGGTTGCGCTGGCACAGCGGTTCCAGCAGGGAAAACGGAGGATGCAGAAACCACCACTGCTGGCTTTTCCTCCGGTATTCTGTCATCTGTAAACATTTTCCCAACCATATTATCATTTAAGGACACATCTGAGTCACTCTTACGCGCCTGCGTGCGAGTGACAGCACAAATGGGGAAAATGTGGGCATTTGTTGCCTTAGACAACACAGTCTGAGGGGAATCCAATATTTCTAGCGCAGGAGTTACCTTACCCAGGGCCGCCCCTCCCTACAGGCCAATCACGCAGGTTGCATGGGGCCCCGCCTTGCGTAGGGGGCCCCGCCCAGAGGGCCTCAGCTGCTGTGCTCAGTTCTCCGCGCACCACCCACGAGAGTGAGAGGTGAGAAGGGGAGCATGTCTGTAACCCGACACCGTTGTAATGAATCGACATCTGACCAATCACGGCTTTGATATAGCCAGTAGTGCAGGTGAAGAGATGTCGGTGAAAAGACAGTTTCAGTCCGGTGCAAAAAACAAAACATGAAGAAACTAGAGCATCATTCGAAGGTGGGTTATTGTATGAGTCAAATGTACAACTTGCGAATGTTGTATAAGTCAAATTGCCAATTGCCATATTAAAACATCAGCTGCAATTCACGACATGAAGAAGGCAGTCTCTGCATAGCATATAGGCTAATGGAGATACAGTTATTTCCAGCATTCTTTATTTACCATTCATTCCAGTATGTGATGCCTTTTATCTGCTGATGTACAGGAGGAAGAGTGATACACTGTCTGTCTAGTTGGCTTACATAACAGTTCAAGTTTACATCTTAAAAAACATGGAGCATTTTTTCCCCTTGTATTCATTTGTATGTCAATTTGCACATTTCATGGTGATGCTCAGCCTCTCCCCTTAACTCCTAACAGTCATCATCATGTCAACCACAACACAGAGACATACTGATAGAAATGTGTGTCTAGTAGTTGATACATTGCTGACAGAGGGAACTAGTATACTGATTTAAGAAATATCAGTTTTTGAGCATGTCATAAGGATGTTTTGTCTTGACTATATTATAATAAAACAATATAGTATTTTTATTATTGAATTGATTATGATTATTATTATTAGTAGAAGTAGTTTATTTGCATTAATTATATTGTATTCTTTTTGTGGCTAGTATTTGGCAGGAAATGCAGACGTATTCACCTGTAAACGCATACTGAACGACATACAGTACATGCACATTTACCATTTACCTCACTGTATAAAAAAGTAACTGTTGATAATAATAATAAACAGGAATGATATTTGCAAACGTTTTTTCACTCCTGTCGGTTGGGGGGGGCCTCATCTCACAATGTCGCTTGGGGCCCCAAGTTGGCAAGGGGCGGCCCTGACCTTACCTCCTGCGATGTAATTTCCCATTAGGAAAACTATACCCCGTATAGGTAATGCTGGGCACACAGCAACAGGGAAAAATCCAGTAATTAATTTAGACTGTATGTGTACATTGTGTACGGGACGGGGCACGTAACCCATTTCAATGCCACATAATAGTGATCCATACCCACACGCTGACTGGTCTGAGAATGGCAGAGCCGAGGCCAAAATCACTGACTGTGAACCTCCAGTGTCTCGTAGGATGCGGACGGGTCTCTGATCGTCTGACTCACCTGTTAAGGATCCCCATTAGCTTTTGCTCTTGACAAAAGCTACTCTTCCTGGGGTCCGACACTTAAATCAATAATACAACAATAATACAACAACATTCAGGACATCATTCCTAACATCATTAACAACATCACCAACAATCTCCAACATCATCAACAATCTCATCCACTTTCAATATCAATCTCAGCCAAGGATGAGTGCACAAGACACCCACCAGTACAAAGCATGAGATCAAATTAAATGAGGGTTCACAGCTCACAAGGGTACATGGTCATTAGTAGACTCCTGCTCTCTTCAGTTTGCGGTTGAAGTGGAGGTGCTCCTGGGCTTTCTTGGCGAGTGACCTGGTGTTGTTCCTCCAGGAGAGGTCCTCGGTGATGTGCACCCCCAGGAATTAGGTGCTGCTCACCTGCTCCACAGCAGCAACATTGATGGTCAGTGGGTGGGGGTTCTCCTGAAGTCGACAACAGTCTCCTTTGTTTTCTCCACATTAAGGAATATATTGTTGTCTATGCACCACGTGGCCAGCTGGTTCACCTCCCTCCTGTAGTGGGTTTCACCGTTGTTGCTGATGAGACCCACCACGGTTGTGTCATCCGCAAACTTGATGAAGTGGTTGGAGCTGTGGGTGGGTGTGCAGTCGTGGGTGGGTGTGCAGTCGTGGGTCAGCAGGGTGAAGAGAAAGGGGCTGAGGCGACTACAGCTACAGACCTCTTGCAGTAGTTTGTTAAACCCACAAACTTCTGTTCGGCTTACGTCAAATGGCTGGCAGGGTCCCCCCAACTGTGTTAGCTTCTCAGTGGTGGTGTTAGAGCTTCTTAGTGCAGCTGCAGCCAGAAGACTACCTTGTCCCAAAACAGCCAAAAGCTGCAGCAGGAGGAAACGGTAAATAAGGGAGCAAAACTTGGTTGAGCTTGGAAAATGTTACACTGTAGACACATTTTATTATCGGGTGTAAATGTAATAAGGTTAAATCTTACTAGATACAATTTAGATACAAGACATTCTAATGTATTTTCTAAATGGGGCCTGAGTCGTGCTATAAAGATGTTTTTGCATGTGGATTCTCCATTATTTGCAGTGGTTCACTGTTGCCACTAGTATGCACAGAAAATCTGGACTTCAAATGTAAGGAAAGATCTGCAATATTTAAACTGCTTCATTCTCAGATGTACAACTAGTAGAAACATGTGTACTAATAAAAGCGTGTGTGTCTCATTCCTCTGCAGCTACCTGGGTTGGAGGTGGATTTATCCTGGGTTTGGCTGAGGCTGTGTACTCTCCTAAAATGGGCTTAATATGGGCTCTTATGCCTCTACAATACTCAGTGTCCTTCATTATAGGTAAGGTAATAGCAGAAGGCGGCTGATCTTGATAACTTCAGATATAATCTTTGTGTTTTTCTGTCTCTTACTTCATCTGTTTTATTGAGATTTAATTAAACAGTAAATGTACACCAACGCTTGGTGTTCTGGATTCAAGCAGCTTACATACACAGTGCCCACAACATTAAATAATTAAGGTCGGAATAAAATATAATGCTTAAAATCTCATCCCCTGCAATAGGTGGTATTTTCTTTGCAAAGCCAATGAGGGATAAGGAGTATGTCACCATGATGGACCCTTTCCAGATAAAGTATGGCAAAGTTCTCAGCACTGCTCTGGTGCTGCCGGCGCTGCTGGTGGATGTGCTGTGGGTGTCCTGCACTCTGCTTAGCTTAGGTAAACATACATACAAACCATGTAAAACAACACTAGTAATGGATTACATGTATTGCATTACGTTTTCTTTGTCTGTGGATTCTCTAACAGGAGCCACTATGACTGTGATACTGGACCTGCCCTACACCTATTGTGTTTGGATCTCATCATCTGTGGCCATCATCTACACTTTGTTAGGAGGCCTTTATTCAGTGGCCTACACTGATGTCATCCAACTCTGTCTCATTTTCTTCGGTTTGGTGAGTTACAAGCATCTTACATTACCACGTTTATTTTTAAAGAAGTTCATTGGATTGTGTATTTGCATCTTGTTTAAAGCTCCACCATCCAACATGCATTCAACCTACATCTTGATAAATCAATAAATCATTTTATTTTTGTAAATCATTGTATCATTTTGTATTCAGTTTTGTTTCTCCATAATACATCCTCAAAATAGTTATTGCATTTAACCTGTTTTTTGTTTATAATTTTTTTTAAAGTGTTGCTTCTGAAAGCCAATAACACATTTATTTCCAGAATTGTTGTGTTTTCTTTTAACAATAAATCCAGCTGTAATACGAAGAACATTTGGTAAGATGTCATGTAAATGGATACATTAGGGCTGAGTGAGGTGTGTGTGTTGGAGCGATAGTCAGTGTATCACCTACAGTAGATGGTGGTTGTTGCACGCCCCCAGTTTGGAGAATATAAATAATTTACTGCACAACATTTAAATAATGCACTACTGCGGAAATAACTTTACTAACTGTACGTTATATTTATAATGTTTTAAATTCTCACCTTGCTTGAAAAAATGTAAACCACAAAAGCCCTCCAAACATCCGAACTATCCCAATCTTAGGTTTGTACAAACTTTCCAAACAAAATGAAATGGAATTCTCAAACCTACTCTTTTTTTAGATGTTATTTAGCTGACCCATCTGTTCAAAGCAACTTACATACACTTTAATGCCGTAGACATGCCTACAGGAGCAATTTGGGGTAGGGTACCCTGCCCAAGGACACTTCAACATGATGACTGCAGGGGCTGGGATCAAACTACTGACCCCCTGATGTGCAAATTAGTGCACTAACCGCCCTCTTGTTTTTCCATTAAAAAGTGGGCAGGAAATCATTAAAACAAATCTGAAGCTGCAGAACTTGTTTTTGGATTGATTTGAACAGACGTTTGGTTGAATGTGAGGTCCTATTTGTTTTTAATATCTGACAGAATAACTATTGCGCTTTGGTCTTCAGTCTGATTATCTCAATATCTGTTTGCAGTGGTTGTGTGTCCCCTTCCTGCTGCTCAACCCGTCATCTACTAACATTGCCCAGACTGCTTTCAATCACACGTTCCAAGAACCCTGGGTCGGCACTCTGCGGCTGGACCAAGTCTGGAAGTGGATTGATGACTTCCTAATGATCGTAAGCTAAATATTCACCAGTGTGCATGTAACACTGCTTCTACCCATTAGCTCAGAGCACATATATGTGTGACAGACAAACAAACATCCATGCTGTTACAGGCACTACATTTTATGTTTGTTTCAGTTTTCTACTATTTTTATATTTGAAATAATTTTCAATGCCTTGTTCTGACAGGCTGCTGTGATGAAAACAATTCCCAATTTGGGAATCAATAAAGTATATCTTATCCTAACTTATCTTATCTTAAGTAAGCTTAAGATAAGAGTTTTTTTATGACATCTAGTAAAGATGATATTTTACACAGAGGAGGTTGCTAGAAGAATCCCGGATTGTGAATTGTCATTGCCATTTCCACACAAATGCAAATCTCATCTTTGTTATTTTTTGGGATTACAACCATGCCACAACACCAGCCTCCCTTGTTCAGTCCTTACCCCATAGAAAACCGCCAAATGTGTCTCTCATACAGAATCCCCGTGTATTTACATGGTTTAGCTTTGATGGAATTGTTCAAATTGGTCAAGAAGTGGAATGGTTCAGGAGGTTTGATGGTAAAAGTCTTACTCCAATTGTGTATTTTCTAGTCATATAAATAATAAGTTATAAATGAGTTATTGTGTTAATCACAATAATAATCTGTGATTGATCATGATTAAGTTTAAAATACTATGTATTATTACACGTGTGGGGTTGTAATAAAGAAATGCACAACCAACTGGTCAGGGAAATCAAAGTTATTATTTTATTCATTATAACAACTCAGCTTAGTTTTGATGAATGCTAAATATTTGGCTTGAAGTCCGACAATTTTCCGACACTTAGCAAACGCATTTACAAAGCCTCTGACATTCCCTTCTTTCTAATGTGAGCCACACTGGGCATATTATCTCCGCTGCTATCATACTGCCAGCACTGCTCCTACAGTGGTGACACTCTCACACTATCTCACACTCCTGTGCAACTTCAAAATACTGGTGCATGGTTCAGAAAAGACCATTCCTCTGTTTTCACCACACTTCAAGACTGAGAGCAGAACATTTGTCATAGATTATGTGTGCTGTTAGACTGAGGTATTTATGGTTATCACTGCCATGCAATTCATGGTATAAAATGTAACTGGAATAACAGGAGGAAATTGGGGTCAAACTGTAGTGTGATTAATTAAGGTTTACTGATTAAAAGCAAGTGTTAGCGCTTTAACATAGACAGACCTAATATTCCCTTTAGCAGGAGACTGTGGTCCACATCTAAAAAAGGGACCACTCTCAACACAATGTTTAAGGCGTATTCCTACATAGAAAAGACTTGATATAATTGCACTTACACAGTTGTAAGTTAAATTGCATGAGTGACAGAGAAAACGTCCACTGCACACAAAGCCTGTAACCCTGATCTAATACTGAGTCCATCTGTGACATCATCAACAGGTCAAATGCCAAACTGATAAAATTACACCACACTGCCAGTCCAGCGTCTATAACTTATTGTCTTGTATCATCTATATCTATATTGCTTTTATAACCAAAAAGAGGCAAAATACAAATATATGGGATATGTTTAAATGTGTGGCAGAAATATTGCGTAAAAACATATTAATAAAATAGGTTAATGATCATTAACCATAATATAATAATATGTTACTTCCCCAAAACAAAAGAGGACATACAAGTAAATCATTTGTCTTCAGGTCACATGGCACCTGAAAGACATTTCCAGCAATAAAAAAGGCAGAAGGCACATAATGTAAATACAAATTCAGCAGAATGCAGGAAACTATGTAGTTAACACTCAACATGTCCTGTTGAATGGCCCCCACCATAATATGAGCTGCTTGCCAATGTTGAAACAAAACTTAAATACATGCTCAGTGTGAGTTTTTGTATGTTAATTGAGTCCTGTTGGTGCAGTGTTTGGTGTAATTGTTATGTTTTAAAAAGGCTGACTAACCCTAACCCTTTCTAGGGACTTGTGGTTCCTATATCAGACAGTGATACTGCGGATCAGGAATATCTCTACAGCGTTAACACTGACCTTTCCCCTGGTTTTGCCCATTGTATCCTGGGAAAGAGTGTAGCCTTGAACCACATCAGAAGAGATATTTAGATTTCCCTGTGCAGTAGTCTCATTAAAAACAGTACTGGTGAATCAGCATGCAATACTTTGGTTATAGGAACACTTGATTAAAGGGGGAATTACATTTGTCTGTGAAGTATTCATCTTTATGTTTTTTCTGAACATTCACTGAACTTTTCTTTTAGTATAAGGAAAAACAGGAAAGTGCCCTTGTATTAGTATATCTGATCATTTGTTGTATATCTTGGTTATCCTTTCTCCCCCTCAACAAGCTTCTCCATGTGCTCTTTTCTACCAGGGTCTTGGTAGTCTTTCATTTCAGTGCTTCCACCAGAGGACGCTCTCTGCCTCCTCCTCACGTACAGCCCAGCTAACCTGCTATGCTGCTGCTCTTTTCATCGCCATACTGGGAATCCCTCCAGTCTTAGTTGGGGCTATTGCCGCCTCTACAGGTGGGAATGAGGTTAAAGATCACAGCACCTTTATAATGAAACCTCAATTGTGTCATTCTTTACATATTGACAGTTTTTTGCCAGAACACATTGAGTCTACTACTACTACTACTTAATCTAGTTATAATTATGGTTTAAAAACTAAATAAAAACTGTTGTTTCCTGAAAGTTAATAGAAATCATTTTCCATCCTATTGATTCAAATGTTTTTTCTTCATATTGGGACCTTGTGAAAAGTGATGCAACTATTGTCAATGGTTGTTTTACTGTCAGAAAACAGTCAGTAGTAACATTACTATAAACCTGCTAAATCCAGGGTCTCCCCATGATAACCTTTAAATATTGTGTTTTAGGTTTAGATGAGGCAGGCTTTCGGGAAATGAACTGATACATTCTTGATGTGTTGTTGCAACCTGTCTCTTAAGTTTGACGTTGACGTTGACGTTGATAGCTTGCAATTACAAAAAAATATGCAAATTAATCACATTACCTAGTTTGACCCCCACCTCCTCCCACAATTGCAGCGCATATTTTTACCATGGATTGCAGGGCATTAAAAAGGCAAAGAAAGCAGAGGCATAAGCCAAAGCTACATGTCTGCTGCCAGGCTTCTCACCCGCACCAAGCCATGGCAACATATCACCCCCACCCTCATCCACCTACACTGGCTGCCGGTCAGGGCCGGCCCTCGGCATAGGCAGTATAGGCGAATGCTAAGGGCGCATCAACCCATAGGGGGCGCCGAAAAAAAGAAAGAAAAAAAAAACTTCCCGATTTTGGATCAACAAAGTACATCTTATTATCTTATAGTAACAAAACTGCGCCTATATTGCGTACAGCGCCCATAAACTATGGCACATCCCCCCCCCAAATCAAGTTGAACTGCCCCAGTAAAAACCAGAGATTTATGTGAAATTGTTCTTTTTTTTAAATAATGGTTTTAGTGTGCAATTATAGGTTTTAATTTTGTATTTGTGTTAATTTAAAATAAATCAAACTCCCAAAAAACGTACACAGCTTCTGTGTGCTTTTATTAACATTGGAATTTACTTTGTAAGCGGCCGCGGGGGGGAGAGCTTTAGAGAGCTCTCTCCTGAAAGACTGGGCGGCTCTGATAACCTCAGCTCAGTGAGGCACACCTTTATATGATCATTATAGTTGTAAAAAAATAAGAGAATAGGTGAAAAACAGGTATAAAATACTATATGACAGTACAAAAAAGTTGTTATTAATAAACAAGAATACAGTTTGAAAGAGGAGTGATTTGTAAAATATCCATAAAGAAAAAGAAAATCTGCTTACAGTTCTGTTTCATATGGGTGTTGAGAGATGTATCCATAGATTTCCTAATGTTGCTCTCAAAGTGCATCAGATTGATGCTTTTAACTTCAATATTAAAAAAAAAAGTCTTCCCGGGGGTGCATACCCCCGGACCCCCCTAGAGCAGGTGAGGTCCCCCCCCCCCACTTAAATCATGTTCAAATGGATAGGAAACTAAATACAGTTACAGTCTTTCTGTTTTGGTGGTCATGCCACAACCGTGCACGCGCGAGTCATAGTAAGTGTAAGTGTCTGCATTTGGGGGGGGGGGGGGCGCCAGCTAAAATCTTGCCTAGGGCAGCAAATTGGTCAGGGCCGGCCCTGCTGCCGGTCAAGCTCCGGATTCAGTACAAAACACTCCTCCTCACGTACAAGTCCCTCCATACCCTTGCCCCCCAGTACTTATCGGACCTCCTCCATCCCTACACCCCTACTCGGAGTCTGCGGCCCTCAGACACGGGCCTGCTCTCCATCCCCCGCTCTCGCCTCCGAACTGTTGGTGACAGGGCGTTCAGTGTTGCGGCCCCCACCCTCTGGAATGCACTTCCTGCCGAGATCCGTAATGCTGCCTCCCTGGACATCTTCAAATCATCATTAAAAACACACCTGTTCACCCTGGCCTCCGGGCCCTAGCCCTTTCTTGGTCCCCGGCTTCCTTTATTTTTAGTTTGCCCTTTGATTGTCTGTTTGTTTTGTTTGTCCACCAAACAAAACCTTGGGTCCCTTGAAAGGCGCTATATAAATATAATTTATTATTATTATTATTATTATGTATTACACTGACTGAAGATCAGCTAGAGCCATCACTTCCTCTGTGTAACGGCACAGCACACTTCGTTGACAATTGTTCTACACTCGTTCTTTAGGTTTGGTTAAAACGAAGAATGTCATTTTGCTACATCATGTGCTAGCACGTTTCTTTAAGTTGCACAGGAGTGTGATATAGTGGACAGGGTCAGCACTGTAGGAACAAATAGGTTGCAGTATGATAGCATTTGAGCATATGTAGTGTATGTGTATGCCTATGCTGCACATATTATACTGACGGGAATTACAGCGAGACTCAGTGAGAGTGGGTTAGTGGATGCTATAGATAAGTGACAGAAAATGATCGGACTTCATGCCAATAGTTCAGAAATCCTTAAAAAAAACTTTGATGTGTCTTACCAGTATGTCATGCATTTCTTTATTACAACACCAGACATGTATTTGTTTTATCAGCCACTAAAAATACAAATAGTATTAAAAAATCTGATTATTGCGATTGACACCACTATATAAAGCAAAATACCCATAATTCATTCTACAGTTCATTCATGTAGTCAAGAAGCTCTCATGAAACCACTATCCTCTATCTTCCCAGCACTTAATAACAGGAATGTAATATCATTATTTCTCCTGTCCAGACTGGAACCTGACTCAGTACGGTTCCCTATCACCAGACGGCCGTGTTAAGCCTAGTTTGGTCCTGCCCCTGACTCTACAGTACCTCACTCCGCCTTATATCTCAATCATTGGAATCGGAGCAGTGGCTGCTGCTGTGATGTCATCAACAGACTCTGCCCTGTTGTCTGCAACCACTGTATTCTCTTCAAACATCTACAAGAACATCCTGCGTAAACAGGTAAGGCTCACAAGATGTTGATGGTGGCAGCTCAATTGCAAAATGTGATTCCAGAAACGAGAGGTTCGGGTGTCGGATTAAAAACGTAAACCCATCAATCTATTTTGGAGAGCTTAGCAGAGGTGGGAGAAGTACTCAGATCTTGTACTTAAGAAGTACCAGAGTGTAGGAACACTCTGTGTAAAAGTCCTGCAGTCAAAATGTTGCTTATAGTATTAGCATCAAAGTATACCTCAACAACCAAAAGTACTCATTATGCAAATTGGTCAATTTCAGAATAATAGATATGATATGTTGTATAATGATTGATCATTAAAGTGTTCTCAAAGCTGGTAAAGGTGCAGCTACACTGAACAAAAATATAAACGCAACACATTTGTTTTTGCTCCCATTTTTCATGAGATGAACTCAAAGATCTAAAACATTTTCTATATACACAAAATAACCATTTATCTCAAATATTGTTTTCAAATCTGAAAAAAATCTGTGATAGTGAGCACTTCTCCTTTGCCGAGATAATTCATCCCACCTCACAGGTGTGGCATATCAAGATGCTGATTAGACAGCATGATTATTGCACAGGTGTGCCTTAGGCTGGCCACAATAAAAGGCCACTCTGAAACGTGCAGTTTTGCTTTATTGGGGGGGTCTGGGGGGGTCCGAAAACCAGTCAGTATCTGGTGTGAGGGGTAGGGGTAGGTTGGGGAAGAGCGCAGGGCGTGGTGCACTGGCTCTCGGTAGATAGGTGTTTAAAAAAACATTAAAAACCTCCGTAAACATAAACCTTATAAAAACCCTTTTAAAAGTATCATAAAAGCTCCGTAAGGACAAGACCGTTTCAAAAGAATGGTTAAGGGGTAGGGTTAGGGTTAGGGTAATGTTGTGAATCGAGTGGCCCATGGTGGTGGTGGGGTTATGGTATGGGCAGGCGTATGTTATGGACGACGAACACAGGCCACTCGATTCACAACATTACCCTAACCCTAACCCTAATCCTACCCCTCACACCAGATACTGACTGGTTTTCAGACCCCCCCAATAAAGCAAAAATGCACGTTTCAGAGTGGCCTTTTATTGTGGCCATTCTAAGGCACACCTGTGCAATAATCATGCTGTCTAATCAGCATCTTGATATGCCACACCTGTGAGGTGGGATGGATTATCTCGGCAAAGGAGAAGTGCTCACTATCACAGATTTTTTCAGATTTTTGAACAATATTTGAGAGAAATGGTTATTTTGTGTATATAGAAAATGTTTTAGATCTTTGAGTTAATCTCATGAAAAATGGGAGCAAAAACAAAAGTGTTGCGTTTATATTTTTGTTCAGTGTAGTTTGAATGACTTTGTATACTGCAGGGTAGCTTTTGAATTTACTCCAGGTGATACTGAAGTCTGATTTAAGTGCTGATTATATTTCTCATTAGTATTCCAAATCTGCAAAGTAACTAAAGGTTTAAAAATAAATGTAGTGGAGTAAAAGTACCGGATTTCCCTCTGAATTGTAGTGCAGTAGAAGTACAAATAGCATGACATGGAATTACTCAAGTAAAGTAGAAGTATCTCAACATTTTACTGAAGTACAGTACTTGAGTAAAAGTATTTAGTAACTTCCCAACTCTGAAGCTCCGGTATGTGAATGAATGATAAAGTGTCTCTTTCTGTGTGATTTTATTTTCCCAGGCATCAGACAATGAGATGCAATGGGTGATTTGGATGACAGTGGTGGTGGTGGGTTTGGTTGGGACCTCCATAACGTTCTACACCAGCAGCCCCCTGGTCCTCTGGGTTCTCGGAGCAGATGCCTCCTACACCCTAATATTCCCCCACCTGGTCTCTGTGCTCTTCTTTAAAGTGACGAATGGTTACGGTGCCACGGTGGGTTATATCACAGGGCTGACGCTAAGGATTTTGTTAGGGGAGAACAATGTAGGTCTTCCTGTGATTCTTCATCTTCCTGGTTGCACATTGGAAGATGGCGTCTACGTCCAGAAGTCTCCTATCAGGACGGTCACCTTGCTCTCCACTTTGGTGACCATCTTAGTTTTTTCCTCATTGGCTTCGTTCGTCTTCAATCGTGGCCTGTTGCCTGAGAGGTGGGACGTTTTCAAAGTAAAACGTAATGTCACTGTGTCACCCGTGGATCCCGTCACTCAGAATCTCAAAGAAGAAGTTGGGAGTGATGCCGAGTGTGACGAGAACCGACATGCAGTGGCCTTACAGCCAATACTGCAGACTGGATCGTAATCTTCTTTCCTTTTGAAAAGCTGATGCCCTGAAGAGTATTATGTTCATGATCAGGATCCAGCAGATCAGTCAAGTCTTTAAAAACTCTTACATTCAGTTTTTGTTATTGAAGGTACAGATGTAGCACCTCATTTCGGACTCCAGCTTACAGCTTCCTGCCTACGACCTGCCTAAGACCAGTATCGAGGAATGTTAAGCCCTCCCACTATTTTCCAAGTGGGCGTTGCCAGATTTTCAATTTCAGGTTTTAACCAGGAGATCGTGCTTCATTCACAAATACAGAAAGACAAGTTTCATGGACTTGCAGTTGTGTTTTGAAGAGCATTTGAACACATCAATATTTTAGATCAACTAAAGTATATCTAATCTTTTAATTCAATAATATATAGTCTTTATATATTAAATAATCATAATAATGTAAATGTTTACATTACACTTCTTTATTTGTTATGCTCATACTTTTACCTTTACAATCGTTTGCTTTAATATGCAGTATATTTTTGGTATATTTTTGTGTTTGCTTCCTCCTGCTCTCTTTCGGACACATACTGTATGATTTATTATATAGCTGCTTTTAATTGAACTATTCACATCTTAAACTGCACTGTAACTTTTATCCATGTATTTTTTCTTTTAATGTTTATTTTATTATCTTTTCTTTTTAATGACTGATTTTAAATGCCATTTTCTTAATGTCTTTCATTTTTTGTAAAGCACTTTGAATATCCGTGTGTTGATTTCGTCTTTATTATTATTATTAATATGAAGATATTATTAAGATAAGATGTTACTTTATTGATTGAACATTTTTGTTTAGAATGTGCTGTCCCACGGTAATTCAGAAGGCTCACAGGTCACATTCCGACCATTATTTAAAACAATACTGTGTAGGTGCTTTCCCACCGTCTACAGTTTGATTTGTATAGAGGGAGCTCTGTGGCTGAATGGCCAGCGATTAGGTGTGGCACATTTATCATAGGTGATCAGAGCCTGCTGTCAGATTTCATTTAAAAAACAGGTCTGATTTTAAGACTATTTCTGCGCTCATAAAGAATGACAAGAATAAGAATAATGCGTATTGAACTGGTTTGATTAATTAGTGAGTTTATTTAACACTTGAACCGCCAATCGGGTCAATTTGTGTGATGTGTGTTGTGTGTGTGCAATGTAACTTTTTTCAATAAAATATTAAAGTCTCCCAGTCCGTGACTTTTCCTGAAAGTGTGTTATGTAGCACCTGAAGTATTAAAATAACGTGTTATAGCAGAAAGTTTAATACAGCGTATTTCTGGTATATTCATTTTTATGTCACCTGATATATAGGATGTGTGTTAACTTGAATGGACGGAAAATTATGTCCCATTTTGAGTGGAAGTAGATTAGCGCAAATGGTCTTTTCTTCCACTTTTGTGTTATAATCAAAAGGTGGTTTTTTGGCTATTTGTGAGTAGGTAAGGTACAGTACAGCCTGTGATTTCTGCCTTGAGTAAAATGATTACCCGTTTATGTGTATTTTTCAGAAAGTCATTTTGGGCTTTCAGGAGCAGAACTCAGTAGGTTGTCTGTAAGAGTTTTCTGTATGATCTGGAAGCTTAAATTAATAGAAGGAGGAAATATTATGTCAATTCTTGGACCTTCTCAATATAAACTATACTTTGATTACAGTTTCCAGATATTAGAAGAGGCCATGGGATGTTGGTGTGTTTCTGAATTGGGTCACACACAATTAGAGAGACAATGGTCCTTCTGATTTATCAATAGATGTATTCATTCTAAGTGAGCCGACTTCGGGGTGGAAGGAAGTTCAGAGAAGGCCTTAGGGTATAAGAACAGTTAACCTTTGTTAGTTAACTAATCGTATGGATGTCATAAGACAAGGACGTTTAAAACATATACGAGTATAGCTTTCAGAGGGAAAACATGTGACATTTGTGTGGTGGGCTGCATGATGAAATTAGTGTGCGTTCTGTGAAAGAGTCCTCTGTCTGTAAGATTCTACTACTCCAAAGCATGCTGTGGGACTGCTTGAGGGCAGAGGGACATAGACACACACACACACACATACACACTGTAAGGAGATGGGGCGAAACAGATGGAGTCAACAACTGCTGACTCATTGCCTAGGGTCCCGCCCAGAAGTGAAACTGGCCAATGGAGAACTGCCAACTCACTGGCTAGCTCGCCCAGAAGTGAAATCGCCAATAACAAATAGCTGGGGAGGAGCGACCCACACAACTCCTCCCACAGAATGTAAGCTGTAACATTCTTACATTCGGCGCTCTTTTCCTGACTGGCTGTCGTGGTACGTATATCACATGGTGGTAGGAATTTAGCCCGGAGTACTCTGTATTTTGTACTATTGCAGAGTGCTCTGTATTATGTATTGTTGTTTTTTTCCATTAAAACAGATTATTGTTCAACCTTTATCCTGGTGCTTTGAGTTCCTTCTTTTGTAAATTGACCAGCTCATCGGTCATCAAGGGACGGCGCGGAGCAGAGGTGAACCTTCCATCACCGCCATTGGGTGGTGCTCCAACACACCCTATGTTGTTAAAAATTGCATTCTAATAGCGGGATTTGACGGTTTTAGGTAGGCCTATAAAAACCTCTGGCAGTTCTAGTGTTAAGGTAATTAGGTACAATAGAAGCCCTTTTTTATCAGTAACGAATTTAGTAGTTGAACATAAAAGTAAACTAATGCCCCTTTCACACCAACGCGTTTTCAGCTCCGGCTCGGAGCTGGAGCCTGAAAAGTACCGGTTTTTCCTGTTCACACCGCAGAGGCGCTGCCTCTTAGCTCCGGAATCCGGTTCACTTCCAGCTCCAAAAAATTGTCGGTCTAGAGGCAAGAGCTTCTGAGCTAAGAGGCGGTGTCGCTTACGTCTCTCTTACGTCGAGGCGGGGGCAGATTCGTCGTTGAAGTAGATGCTGAAGACCACAAAGAAGTCTTGCATTTCGCATGTGATGTTTGTAAAGTTCCAAGTAAAGTCGTCCCATGTAAAGTCGTCCGATGCCTTCCATTTAGTTTCTTAAGAGGATAACCAAAGCGAACAGCGCTTCAATACAATCGGCCATTGTTGTTGTTGTCGATGTGAGGAATATCCGCGCGGTTTGGATTTTATGAAGCAGGCACGTAAACGGTGACGTCATGACGCAGCAGCGGCAGCTCTGGGCGGTGTGAACAGAGCGGGAGCAGAAAAGGGAAACCGGAGCTGAACCAGAAAAGCTCCCGCTTGGAGCTAGAAAGGGAAAAGCGATGGTGTGAAAGCCGCATAACTGAGGGTCACTTGCAATGACAGTGTTGTGTCTAACTGTAAGCTTGTCACTCAGAGTAACCTACAGTTAATTTAGCTGCTGGAGAAGAAAGATCAGGGGGGGAGGGGGGGAGAGAGCTGTGGTTGATGGGCCATTAGTTGTGTAAATACACAGCTGAGAGCTGCCGTTGTTACCGTTTAACTGGTTACACCGGGGAACTCGTTACGTTACGTTAACGGTAGGAATGGGGCGTGTACTTTGAGGAGCCATTGTCGAATAACCAGGAAATACACATTTCGATCGCTTATTTTATTGTTTACATTTATCTTTTGGTATATTTGGCTCCATAGGAACACTTTGATGCACATTCAGTACCAGTGTGTGAGGTTGTGGTTGCGATGCCGATATCCGGACGCGTACATCGAGGACTACAAAATGACAATGAGGTGACTGGGGATGTCTGTTCAAAAACATTGCAAACGTGAATAAATCATTTCAAATATGTATTTGTCTCCGACTTTCATTTGTACATCGTTGTTAATGTGATGTTTAGTAGCTTTGATAGCTGTCCATACCTCCAGACAGCCTAAAAGTAAGACACAAGTTGTTTACTCACAGCCCGAATGCAGCATCGAGATCCGTGGCCAGCTGTGATCCTCTCCGATTAACTTGTGACAGGACTTCTTTAGCTATTCTCCAGCGAGCAAGGTTTTTATTAAATACCTCCATCCCTCTCATCACAACAAGACTCTACACTGTGCAGAAAAAAAACAACATAAATGAAAATAACCTTGCTGGATAGCTTAGAATGAAACAAACAAACTATCTTCCATTGCTGATACTGATGTCACAGTAACGGCTAAACCACAGACAAGTCCAGCGGGGGGGGGGGGCACAAGTTGAATCCATATAATGAAATTGTTATTTTATATATATATATATACATGCTATATATATTTATATTTATTTCTATCCTACATTGTCTAGGCTATATAAACCGGCGGAAGTGTCACAACTGTCTTGGTTTGTGATTATAGAGAGAGATAGATAGCGACAGAGAGATAGATAGCGAGACAGATAGATTACTGTGCATTGCCCCTGCTAAATAAACCATTAAATAAATAGAAGAGCATCAGGACTGTTTTACATTACATGACATGTTACTTGTTAGACACTTTTATCCAAAGCGACTTAAATACTCAATACTGTGGACAATCCCCACAGGAGCAATTTGTGGTGAAGTGTCCCTGATCCGAACACCAACGCACTAATCCACTGCGCCACATGCCTCCCTTTAGGTATATGATAGCTATGTGATTAACATGATGACAAAGGTATCCCAACTGTAGCTGTGAACATGACAGGATGTGTGATTACCTAGAAGAGCATCAGGACTGTTTGAGGCATATGATAGCTATGTGATGAACATGATGATTCAGCCTCTATGGAGATAGACATCAAGCATGCTCATTTCTGACATGGAGCTAATCTGAAGTAAACATTGAATACTGCTTTCTATTCCTTCACCTTGTGACTGTGTAACTCCCTCTCTTGGATATCAGCATGTGAAGGACACTGTTCAGGAACTAGTTGATGCTCTGTATGTGATGACTACTTCCATTCTGGAGAGGTTCACAGACACATGGATCCTGAGGTTGAAGCTCAAACTGGTGAAAAGTGATATTTTTCCAACAATTTCCAATAAATGTTATTCTGAAACATAACTATCACTGTTGTCTTTCCTT